GAGACGTAACGGTGCGTCTATATCATCTCGTTTAAAAATATGACACCCGCGTGAATAACCAACACTGCGATTACACCTGCGACTGTAAACGACGGCGCGCAAATCGTAAACCCCAGGAAATGTTACCGCTCGTGGATAGCTGATGGTTTCAATAGCAGCCGGTGCACGTCGCATACCTGCGATCAGAGGTGCGAGAGGAACTTGCGGCTAATCAGAAACACGACTAGCCTCTGTCAAAAGTGAGGACTCTTCAGTCCTCGCTCGGTAACGATCCTGGAGAAAAGGCCGGCGGTTCGCCATCGCCGCCAACTGTCCCAATTATTCCGAGCACGTACACGGCTTTCGGTTAGAAACGAGGAAATTGATATCTGCTCCTTTTGTTTCCTTCGCGGACTCTATCGCGGCTCTTCAAGGCCGATGAGCTGGCGGTATAATAGGATGCCATCTATCCCGTGACTCGTTGAGATTCCGAGCAGGCAGCTCGGAATGCCCCGCAAATTTGGAGCAAATCCAGAAGCCTTAACACGTCCGGGCCTCTCTCGCCTCGAGACGTCCACGAGCGTTTCTCTCTCTCTCTCTCTCTCTTTCTTTTTTTTTCCTCGGAATTAACAAAGCGACGAATTATCAACGGCGGCGAATAAAACGAACGATCGCCGCGCGGCTTCGCTCCGTCGCTGAAATTCAGCAATCACCGGCACGAGTCGCGAGCGGTGAGCCTTCAATTCGCCGCCGCTCTTGTGCGTGTATGTGGCCGCATATATCGCTGAATGCTCGTTGAAACATTAGAGGGAGGGTGGGCTCAGTCATGACGTTACTTTGACGCATCGTGTAATTCAAAGGAGCGCCCTCGTAAATCGCCGTCGCGTTATTCGTTTATTGGATCAGGTTGACGCTCCTCGTGCTGTTCGTCCCGAAATAACTGCGCGCAGCCTCGCCGCGTGTAATTTCGCTCGTCTATCGATGACCCGCGGTGAACCCGCGTCTCTCTCTCTCTCTCTCTCTCTCTCTCCCTCTCTCTCTCTCTCTCTCTCTCTATTGTAGTCGGACGTGCACGGGCGTCTGTGCACGAAGCGCGGATATAACGACGCCTGGCAGGATAATTAGTACCGAGCGAGACCGGAGCGAATTATACAGCGACGGTTACCAATAATAATTCGCGGGGAAACACTTGCGAAGTTGATACCTCGCGCTCTCGCGCGCACGGGACCGTCCCCGTTGAGAAGAGACCCAGCGACGATCGGGGCCTTAAATGGGCGCGGCTCGTGTTAATGAAAGCACCGAGCGCCGAACAAAGTTCCCGTCACTCTCTGCTCAGGTTCAACGCGCTGAATTTATTTGACGCGCAATGGCGGAGCGCCCGCGCCGCGCGGCAACTCGACCGAAAGGAGATTCCGCGCTCGACGGTGAAAGAGAGACGGAGCGCGTTGAAACAATAACTGTCCTCCATTAGACCTTATACCCGCGGCGTCCCATTTGCAGCTTGCTGGTAACCTCGCACGTGTCTCTCGCAAGGTACTTCCGTCCGGCATAACCAACCGTGCCGGACGCTTTTTGCGCTGTCTGGTGCGACGAAAAAAAATAAACTATCGGTTTCTCTCTCTCTCTCTCTCTCTCTCTCTCTCTCTCTGTCTCTCTCTCTCTCTCTCAGGCGGCTCAAATGTGGGGACGCACGTGAGCGGTTTTCTCGTGCAACGTGCGACGATGCTGCCGTGAAAAGTGCGCCCGTACCTTTCAGCCGCGCTTGCGATGCGCTTTCGTAGCGCTTTCGTGCGTAACTTCACGAGTAAATGGCGAGCATTAACGTCGGTGGCATCACATTAATACTCGACGCGCGCTGCGCTCTTGTGCAAAACGCGCAGCGCGCGCAGAGCCATCCGCGGAAGGACGGAGGACGAGCGGCAGAAATAGTCCGGATTTCCGCGTGACGTGAGGGACTTGGTTATCGCGAGTTGAAGACGATACTCGCGGCGAAGCGAGGCGTGACGGAATTCAGGCTACGCGCGCAAACGAACGACAATGATCTTGACCTCGCGACACATACGAATAACCTCGCGCTCGAGGCCACCGTGCATACGCCGTGCGCGAGTGTCGCGGTATGAAGGAAGGAAGGAAGGGGAAAGTTACATGTCGTCATTAATCAAACATGAAAGCGCGGACGGCGGTAACAATCGTATGGAGGTCGTAATCGTGCCCCGTCTCCTCGTATGATAAGCGCGATAAGCAGGCAGATTGCGTGCCCAATTTCGATGGATTTTTCGCGGCCAGCTCGCGCCGCGGTGATGCTGCTATTTATTGGGGACTTGAATAAGTTCTCGCTGTTTCCCGACAGATGCTGTTATCTTAGCCTTTTTGCACTCGGGCAATACTACAGTCAACTTCATTCAATGGTGAAGCTCCACCATTAGGCTCGAAGTGACAGTATATGTTATTCCGCCGAAGCGTAAGCAACATATTTTTTCATAGCGTTAAACATGTCGAATTTCGTGCCAAAAAGAAAAGAGTATTTGCGGGGAATTTTACTGCGTTACTTTTTTTTGAAGAAAATCTGCAGCTGAAGCACATAGAATTCTTGCGGAGACTTACGGCGACCGTGCTCTGTCGGAAACAACATGCAGAGATTGGTTTAGACGCTTTAAAAATAATGATTTTGATGTTGAAGATAAAGAACGCTCTGGCGCACCGAAAAAGTTTGAAGACGAAGAATTAGAAGCATTACTCGACGAAGACTGACCCATGTCAGACGCAAAATGAACTTGCAGAATCATTAGGAGTTGATCACACAACAGTTGCCAAACGTTTAAAAGCATTAGGAATGATTCGGAAGCAAGGAAATTGGGTGCCGTACGAATTGAAGCCGAGAGACGTCGAACGGCGTTTTTTCACGTGTGAACAGCTGCTCCGCAGCGGCAGAAAGGGAAAGGTTTTTTGCATCGTATCGTGACTGGCGATGAAAAGTGGATGCACTACGATAACCCGAAGCGTAGAAAATCGTGGGGTAAGCCCGGTCATGCATCAACATCGGCGACAAAGCCGAGTATCCATGGTTCCAAGCTCATGCTCTGTATTTGGTGGGATCAGCTGGGTGTAGTATATTATGAGCTCCTCAAATCCAACGAAACCATCACGGGAGAAACCATCGCTATCGACTACAATTGATGCGTTTGAGCCGAGCATTGAGGGAAAAACGGCCGCGATACGAGGAGAGACACGACAAAGTAATTTTGCAGCATGACAACGCCCGGCCACATGTTGCAAAACCGGTCAAAACCTATTTGGAAACGCTCAAATGGGAAGTCCCACTCCACCCGCCCGCCGTATTCACCGGACATTGCTCCTTCCGATCGATGACTCATGGCCTGGCTGAGCAGCACTTCCATTCTTACGAAGATGCCAAAAAATGGGTCGATTCGTGGATAACCTGAAGAGATGAGTCGTTCTTTCGATCATGGTATTCGTATCGCTGCCAGAAAGATGAGAGAAGGTAGTGGCTAGCGATGGACAATACTTTCAATGACATGTTCTTTACTTACTAATTTTTTAAAATAAAGCATTCATTTTCACGAGAAAACAGCGAGAACTTATTCAAGTCCCCAATATTATCGTGCAGTTTACGCACCACGTTTACCGTATCACGTGCGCAATTTATATCACAATATATCGTGATGCGCGAGATGCAGCGAGATCAATCGTCTCTCATTTACGAATTAGCTGCGCCGTGATGTACTTTCGCAGGGGATATCACGCGCGATCTCCCTGTCTCGTGTATCTATTGGGTTGGCAACTGAGTGATTGCGGATTTTGTCGACAGATGGATTTTACACTTTCTTCTGTTTCGTTAACGTGTTCAAAGTACCTAACCTATATTTTTTTCTTACTGTTTGGACTTCTACCTTTCATTTAGTACAAAAATTATATCGATTAGTTCTTTAGTTTTGTTTTTATCCCAATTTAAAAATGGAAGAGCAAGACGTGCACTTTAGACATATTTTATTGTATTATTTCCGAAAAGGCAAGAACGCATCGCAAGCGCACAAGAAGTTACGTGCCGTATATGGGAATGAAGCCTTGAAAGAAAGGCAGTGTCAAAATTGGTTTGCCAGATTTCGTTCTGGTGATTTTTCACTGAAAAATGCTCAACGATCTGGCCGTCCAGTTGAAGTCGATGAGACCCATATCAAGGCCATTATCGATTCAGATCGTCATAGCACAACACGTGATATTGCAGAGAAGCTCAATGTATCGCATACATGCATTGAAAAAAATTTAAGAAAGCAAATTTAAAATTTTGTATTTTCATTCTTATTTAAAATCCGCAATCACTTAGTTGCCAACCCAATAATTTAGAAATTAAAAACATCGCCGCGCGCGCGACGACGCGAAGCCGCGCGGAGCGCGTCTCATAAGACAAAGTCAACGGATACGGATTCGAGTCATGTGAGCGAGACTGTGCAAACTGCACTGGCGTCAGTCACTGTAAGTCACTCGAGTCAAGGAACTGCGGATCATGTTATCCGCCGCTGCACCGAAAGTGCTCGAGCGAGCGCTGCGCGACCTTGAGTTGTGAAACTCCCGACGAGTAGATATTTTCAAATGTCGTTTGTCACTAGCGCGAACGGACGTTCGATGTTCGAAGGTACGAAAAGGTGAGACCGATATGTCACGAACTTATTGTATCGACTGAAATTTCATTCAGTGGATGCAGCCTTTCGTTCAGTCGACAGAACGTTAATAAATAGAAAGGTCAATGAAAAAAGGGTCCGATGCAAGAGAGCATGGGACGTAAAAATGGAAAAATAATCAAATGTATTCGCATTGAAATTCATGACAGCAAATTGACACACGGAATTGTTATTCATTTATGCCGAGCTTGTGAACGAGACGGACGACTCGAGCGTTCGAGACATTTTTCGCAGGATGTACTGTACCGAGAGCTGTTTCTTCACGCGGACGTTATGTGTATATATATACATATATATATATACATATGTTCGGGGAGAAATTAGGGAGACGTACAATAAAAATTGGACGTAAAGCTCGATAGAGGCGCGCGTACCTGGCAAAATTCACTCGAACGAGAGTACGAGGACCCGCAGGATATAGCGGATCCAGTCCGGGCTCTCAAGGAGCAAGAGAGACGGGGAGAAGCAGGAAGCGAGCGCGCACAAGTAGAATAGAGCGGGACAAACAGGCGGTATAAAAGTCACAGGATCCTTCTTTACGAGATATCAGCTCGATAGATAATCTCACGGCGGCGCGGCGGTCGCCGTCGGAGGAGACCGCGTCCTGGACATTCAATTTCGTAAATGGCAGCCGGAATTGCGTCCGCGTCCGCGTCCGCGACGCTCATAAATCTCGCCGGGGCGTTATCGCGCGATTGCCAGTCGGCTAGCTCCTTCGGCTCCTGATACGTCGCGAATCGAAAAGCCGGCGAATACGTGTCGGTCCGCCGCGTGGTAACCGGAACCGGAAGCAGCCGGGCGTGAATAACGCCGTGAACCATCGCGTTCGCCGCCGTCGACGCCGCCGCCGCCGCGATCGCAAACGCGAAGCTCGCGGACTGCGCATTAGGGACGCCCTGTTACGCAATGCACGGATAGCGACATTGGTGACAATCATCGAATTACCTGCGAGTGCACCGCGATCGCCCGCAGTTTCGCGCGATACTCCGCGCGAACGGAGGCTTTGTGCGGCTCGGCGATCGTATTCCCGGCGTAAACGTCGAACGGTGTCGCGTGCTCGCGCATGAAAGAACGCTCGATTACGAGCCGGTGATTCGAAACCGGTATTAATCGCGGTGAGCTCGAGATCTCTAATGTTCGCGGGCCGCGCGAGAAGGAACCCCGCCTCGTCGTCGTCGTCGTCGTCGTCGTCGTCGCGAGATTGTCACGAGTGACGCGAGACGACGCATTTTTCCCCGGCGATCTTCGCGTCGCTCTCGCCTGCCGCCTGGTCGCCCGCGATCCGAGGACAATCGTCGCGAACGTGTTAATTAATCAGCACGCCCGTCTGACGTAGCCAAGTGACTCGGCGGATCGCGTGAATGCCGCCGTTGTTGTCGCACGCGCGCGGGAACTTGCGCTCCGCTCGGGAGCGGCGGAATCGGAGCGGCTGGAAGAGGCAAAGGTTTCTGCCGAACGCCCGCGCGCCGTCTGTGATGGAATTTCATTAACCGGCAAAAGTAACGCGACGACGTTAGTTCCGAAAGTTGTAAACATCGTTACGCTGCATTATTCGCGGTTTATTTCCCCGGGGCTCCCTCAGAAGAGACACCGAGAGCGCTGTCAAAACTTCCTCCCGAGAGTGAGAGAGAGATAGAGAGAGAGAGAGGGAGAGGGGCGGGAGGGAAAGAGAGGAAGAGAGACCGGGGTATTTGCATATGTCGAGTTCAGAGAAACGACGTTCGCGAGAGCGACGTTCCTCGCGCGCCTTGTTCCAGCGGATGTTCCAAATGGTGTCCTTTGGAGGTACCGATACTCTCGGCGGCTTGTGCTCCCGGGCGGTGTCTCGCGGGATCCTCCTCACGAGCGACGATACCAAAGCGCAAAGTTCGTTCGATTGAAATACGTAAATGCGAGGGACGCGTCGAGTCGCGTCAACAATCGTGGTCGATCGCGGTCCTTATTCCGACAAAGCTCGGCCGACGCGAGATCTAGGTTGGCGCATATAATTAACTCGCCTCCCTGGCACGTACGGATGACCCAGTGATCGCGCGCGCAGAACGGTCGTGGACATTCTAAATACATCGGTTCGCTTTTAGCCCTTTGTCCAAAAGAAACATTCCGAGCGCCGGCTTGCATTATACGTAGAAATCGTGTCCTCGAGTGCTTTGCTCCCCCTTATTTATAGACACGTTCTTCGACCCATCTTGTATCGAACGTAACAGAAGCAGCGGGCTTAATAATTCAACGAAGCACCGATGGAATTTTCAGATCAAGTCAACAAGTGAGAATCCTCGCGACTTTACTCATTCATACGTACTTTCCCAACTGCGCGCGCAGTTGAAAAGATATTGAGAGGGAAGTTAAAAAGAAAGTAGTCTCTCTCTCTCTCTCTCTCTCTCTCTCTCTCTCTCTCTCTCGTAGTTGCTCATTCTCAGTCTGCAGATGAAGGGAGAGCGTGGCTCAAAGTGGCGAAATTCCTCGGTCATCTCGATGATCTCGATTGTTCACATCGATGCAGCATCACGAGCGAACCAAGCTTGGACTGGCTCGAGGAAAGCCTAAGGGAGCGTACACGCGAAACTTTAGTCCCCGGAAGTGATTCGAGCAGAGTGCGCGCACGCGCGCGATCCGGTTCGATCAGCGGGCGAGAAAGCCGCGGTTAGCCCTTTTTCAGCCGAGACCTCGCGAGTCTCTCGCGAGGTAATGACGCGCGCGTGTAACAGCGGCTTAAGGCGCGAAAATAGAGCCTGTGCGAGCGGCGTTGGTCGTTGTCGCCGTCGTCGTTGACGGTGGCCCGCAGCAACGCTACGCCGCTACGTGCTTAGTCTTTAACGGGAAGCATCCGCGCAAAGAGCGGCTCGTAGCGTGCCGCGAGCAGGGACTTCGCCAACGACGCGGATCGGACGGAGCGCGAGCACGCGAGGAATTTGATTTTCGAGAGAGAGAGAGAGAGAGAGAGAGGCAGCCGCGCGACGCGCTGACGGAGCTGCTGACGACTCGTCGGAATATTCGTCACGACGAATCTCGCTCGCAACAGGCAGCTCGAGTCGGTGCAGCGGCAGAGCGGGGAGGCGCGGAGACCGAGTCTCGCGGGGCGAGCGACCGGATTCAGTAGGAGCAAGAGAGAGAGAGAGAGGGAGACCTTATTACAGAGACTTTGTTATCATCCCTCGCAAAGTTGTGATCCGCCGATGAATGCGGAGCCGGTCGCGTTCCGAAGTCGAAAGGTACGGATTGACGGGTTGGGCGATATCGTGGATTTAATTGGATCTCCATAATAAGCTTCTTACGCAATCCCTCGAAACGAGGTCGCAGCGATCGAGGTCGTCACAGACGATCGATCGACGGATGACTGCGCTTCGGACCGCGAGAGAACACCGCTCTGTCTGGAATCCCAAATTCGGTGACTATTCCGCAACACCGTCGCCGAAAATTGCGAGTCACTCTCGAGCGAACGCGCGCTTAAATGTCTCATGAGATATCGGATATTGTCGAGCGACACCCGTGTTCACCGTTGGCTTCATCACGTTTTAACGAGCCGTGTACACCTATTTTTGCAGACTTTTACTCGGCTTCTACGTGTGCGACATGCGCGACTCAAATACACCCGAAACTGATGCACAGAGAATAACTTGGTTGCTAACGTTCTCTTTCTCTCTCTCTCTCTCTCTCTCTCTCTCTCTCTCTCTCTCTCTCTCTCTCTCTCTCTCTCTCTCTCTCTCTCTCTCTCGCCAGAACAGAACCGTGTCATTCTGCAAATAACGATCTGGATCGTCGAACTCACTTAGTGAATACGATAATCGGCTCCGCTGAGGAAATCATAGGGCACCCGCGTCGCCGTCGTCTCTATATCTGACTCTTTCATTCTTCTATTAAGTCTCCTTGAGCCGCGCGTCGCCCGCACGCATCAACGTTATCCCTCGGATAATTTCTGTTTCCTTTCTGTTTCTGTTGCAGCTGCTGTAGTCGGCGGTCAGTTCTACGAGGGATCTGAGGATCAGGATTCAAGATTCCACGATTAGAAAGGAAATTTTCTCAAGAGAAAAGAAGAGAGAGAGAGAGAGAGAGAGAGAGAGAGAGAGAGAGAGAGAGCTACATCGGCTGATAAAATCGGCTATACGATGGAATCGAAAGAAAAACTGCAATCGATGACGGACGTCCTCGAGAGGGACAGTTCGCGGTCGAAGGACCTGTCGGTCGTGGCGATGCGAAAGACGGGCACCTGCGAGATTTTGGCACGGCAGGCGATGGCTTGGTGCCGTTACTGGCTGCTAACGTTTCCCGTTACGATGACGTTGAACAACATCGGCTTTTTGGCGGTGTCCCTCGCGATAGTGTTGCCGCGGTCCATCATTTACAGGCTCGTGTATCCGATTTTCAGATTGGTCTTCGGCACTCTCTACCCGGCGTACGCTTCTTACAAGGCGGTGCGCACCAAGAACGTCAAGGAATATGTAAGTGACAAGTGTGTCAAACGATCAAACGACGGGGAGCGGTGATGAGACAGCAAGACAGCAACGCGAACTCGGGTCGAGATCATGTCGGAAATGCTCGTCTCGCGCGGCTCAATCCGCCGAATCGAGCGTGGAAGAATCGGGGACCTGCGCTTGTGCGCCACGTCGCCCTTCGCCCTTCGCCCTTGCCCGGTCGCTTTAGAACTTGTTTGGTTTCAGGTCAAATGGATGATGTACTGGATCGTGTTCGCGCTGTTCACCTGCGCGGAAACCTTCACCGACGTCTTCTTTAGTTTCTGGTGAGGAACACTTTACACATTCCACTTAGACCTCTCCCTTTTCTCGCGACCCTCGCGATCCTACGGAGATCACGCGTCGCGTGCGACTCGCTCGATATACGGCGCAGGATGTTAAACGAGAGACCATCACCGCACCCTCGCACGTCCATCCGCTCGACGTCAATCGAGCCTCGTTAAGCTGCGAAGAAACATGACGTTTCAGAAAAGCACAAAAGTCCGCGTGGCGATCGCCGGGAGCCGCCGGCGATGTTGGTAAATTTGGCCGCTGAGGCTTCATCATCGCGATTAACACTCTCTTTGCCTCCCTCCCTCTCGCTCCTTTTACCTCTCTCTCTCTAACCGTCGTTCATTAACCTTTGCTCCCAGGCGTCTCGAACGTCGACATGTACGCGGCACAATGCGCCGGATATCGAGATGAATCTCCGTAGTCGCGCGCGAGGGCAAACAAGGGGCCAATAAACCAGCTGCGAACCGCGCGGTCTGAAAGCCGCGTTCGCCGCGAGAAGGAATTCCGAAAGTCTAATTTCGGACGAGATAGATATTGGCTTACATGCACTTCTGAGGATTCTGCCCGCACCCGCTCCCCTGCCTACCGTATTCTCGTCTCTCTCTCGTCTCTCTCTCTCTCTCTCTCTCTCTCTCTCTCTCTGGCGCTCGCGTTTCTCTCTGCCGGCCGTCCCTTTCCCGCGTCTACCGCATCGTGCCAGATCTCCCTTCATACTCGGATTACAAGCAAGAAGGAAACGAGAGTCCCGCGTATTTCTGGCATCGAATGCCCGATACCCTGCCGGTGTGTACGCTCGCGCGCGCGCGCTTTCCTCCGCGAGCACTCACTTTCACGCCCGTGGTTTCACGTCGCGAGCGTGCGCTCGCGCGGCGTCTCGGCTTTTTCGTCAATTCTCTGCCTCGCGCGGAGCCGCCGCGCCGAGTCGCGAGCGTGCAGTTTCATCAAACCTGACCCTTCTCTCAGAATCTCAAGGGTCTCTGGGTAGGCGCAGTCGCTACGAGGAGAAATTACGGCACCTCGCGATGAGACATCCTCGCGCGCGCGCGCGCGCGCGACCAAGGAAACCCCCTCCTCCCCCGTCGGGGATGTTGTTTCCTCGTGAGATTTTCCTACGCGAGTATCGTCCCGCTCGCTCGCGTCGTGACGCCAAGATCCACATTGCGCGGCCCGCAAAGGAATCGCGAAGCTACCCGAGATAGCTCCTCTCCCCCGAGGTGGCCGCTGCACCGCGAGTACGCCCGACTCACTCACACGCCGCGACGTCTGTTACGTAGGTTTCCGTTTTACTATGAGATTAAGATCATCCTGGTGCTCTGGCTGCTGAGCCCGGCCACTAAGGGCTCCAGTATCCTTTACCGGCGCTTCGTGCATCCGGCGTTAATCCGCCGCGAGGCTGAGATCGACGAGGCCCTCGCACGCGCGACGGAACAGGGTTACACGGCGGTGTTGCATCTCGGCACTAAGGGCGTGAATTATGCCACCACGGTCCTCATGCAGACCGCGATCAAGGTAAGGCCCCACGTGGACTGCACGTGGAAGCAAGCGTGTTGCTGTGAGAAAACGCAGTGTCCCGAAGCCCCACTGTCTCGCCCGGCTCGTCTCGGCATTCTTCGACGAGGGCGACAAGCGCGCTTGGAGCCGATCTCGAGGAGAATCCACGGACGACATCGGGGACGGTACTTTGGGACACCCCGTATGTAGATGTAAGAGGGGAGCCGGCAGTTTTTTTTCAGGATGATTTAACGATCTCTGTCGTTTCCGATGATATATTTTTTCTCTCCCCCCCTCTCTCTCTCTCTCTCTCTCTCTTTCTTTCTCTCTATAGTGTTGCTGTAATATATTGTACAAGTTGAACGTAATTGAAAGTAACAACGGTTATTTCTCACGCGTGGGATCTTCTTGTCCTCGGGAAAAGCTGGCCGGTACCTGAAGATGCTTCATTTTGTTTAATGTCGAACCTTAACCAGCCTGAGCACTCGCTTCTCCATTGCGAACCACACGCATAAAAAAAAAAAAAAAAGAGAAAGAAACTTGTATCTATGCGATCTCTCGATTACCGCCCACTAATTTTACGTGTTCTTGATTTTTTCTGTTTTCGTTCTGTGTTCCCACGCGCTCCTGCACGCCATCGTCCTATTACTACCGCCGCATCGCCGTCACCGCATCTGCCTAATAAAACGATCTCGAAAAAAAAAAAAAAAAAACAAACGAACAAACGAAACGACAACGATCATCGGCATTCGCAAAACCGCGCACGGCAAACGCCGAGCATCTAACCGTCACCCACCTTAACTGTCGTTGCTTAAGAAATCTGTCGACTCCGAACCGTCGTCAACCGCACTACAACAACAACAACAACAACAACAACTACAACACTCTGCCATTGACCTGTAACAACCATTATCACCACCACCACACCATCACCACCACCACCACCACCACCACCACCCACCACCACCACCACCACCACCACCACCATCATCACCACCAATTACCACCACCATTACCACGACCACGACCACGCCGAATTGCTGGCCGATCTAAACGCAAAAACAAAAACTAAAATAAAACAAAATTTGGAAAAAAAATACGTATGCGAAAACAAAATGCAAAATTGGCATCGTGACAGTACTGCTCGGCCATGACCCCGATCACGACGAATGTAGTCCTCGATCGCCAACCAGACCTGGCGATTTCTAGCTTAGCCAACCCCAGTATGGCGACGAGATTAACGGACACAGACAGCCCGGATCATTTGAGCAGCAACGACAGGGAGACCGACAGCTGGCCTGTTGAGCCTAAGATGGAATCTTTGATAGTACTGACGGATCACGAATTGTCGATGGACGAGTATATGTTAGAGGAGTACAGTACGGACAGCGAGTTGGACGAGCAGGTTCCGAGTGAGCAGCCGCAGCAACAGCAACAGCAGCACCAACAGCAGGAGCCGGACGAGCAGCTACAGCAACAGCCACAGCAGCAGCTGGAAGGACATTTCGCGATGCCCGCCGAAACAACGCCAAAGGCCAAAAAAGCGAAGAAGATGCCCGTCAGGCGGCAGAAAAGTCGAGCTTGCAAGAGGACCTCGAAGAGTTACACCGAAGAATTCAGCGACGAAGCAGATCTCTAATTCTACTAGAGGAACGGATGCTTCCGGATAGACGTTGTGACGTGTGTCGGGGGTTAACCTTGATGGAAGCTACGGATCGATCGGTCTTCGGAAGAACAATCGACGGTTTCGTCCGGGACAAGAGGGAAGAAAAGAGGGAGAAAGAGGGAGAAAGAGGGGAGGGGGAATGGGGGAGAGACACGTACAGAAGAATCGCGTCTACACAATTAGGAATAATGAACGAAGGACCTTTCTCCAGTACGGAAGAAACCGCGAGATTTTTGGAAGGATCAATGACGAAACTCTGGGCACATTGTATGCTCATCTTGGTGTCATTTCTTTTTCCTCGTTCTTTTTGTCCTTTTTTTCTGCACGGGTCCATCACGGGTTTGCCTCTGCGTTTTTTTACACATATTGGAGGTGAAATCTTCTGTCACGGTTTCGCAGTGAACTGTGATCAAATACAGCCCATTTTTAATCGATACCTCTCTTATATTTTAATTCGTATATTGAGTTGATATGAATATCGAAATTATATATATATATATATATATATTATGTGTATGCATATTATAGTGTTATATTATTTAATTGCGAGCAACAAAGAGCGGAACTTTACTTTAGCGAAAAGAGAAAACAAGTTTTGCGCTCCGTAAAAGAGGCTGAGAATACTTGACTTTGTATTACTATTTTATTCTTTTTTTTCTTTTCCCTTTTTTTACGATACAGAAGTTCGTCAAGGTTTCAGAAATTTCTTTACTTTCTTTTTTCTTCTTTTCCCGCAATGTGAGTACAACAGGCAAGTTTAGTCTATACTTATGATGCATTTTTGATCAAGAAAATATCCGTTAGTTTTCTACTTACTCGAGTGCCTTATTGCGATTTGTACTTTTTCACGTGAACTTTGACTAGGACTCTAGGAAAATCCTGTAAAAATCACGATCAATTTGATCAGAGTAGATAGAGTAGCTTTAGGCATGATTTATCATATACAATCGACCTCGATATTTTGACGCGTACCAGGTTATCGTTATAACATCAGTTATTCTGTAAAAAGCGCGACGATGCATAACACGAGTCGAAGGGTGACAATCTCGAAGAGTGATCGAAAACGTCGGGTATTATATTCAAGAAGAGAAATATCAGTCGAAGATTCTGTGTGAGGGAGGCACTGATTATACATATCTTCGTCGTAACGCGCCGATGATTTTGTGCCCCGCGATTCACTTTCGACGAGTAACGAGCGAACAAAGTGCAATCGGGACAACCGGATGCTTTGGACCGTCCGCCCCCCCCAGGTGTTGTCCTTTGACACAACTCAGCTTTAACCGTGCAAATATACCTCTTGCGCTCTGTCATCGGGATTATTGTATGCTATCACGTGCGAATTACTCGCGAATGGGCAATGAATCTCCGGTCCTGGATTGATTCGCGCGACTCTCTCTCTCGAACACACTGTCGTCGTCGGCGCTCGAGATGCGTTTGATAATTTGGATGCTTAGGAGACGCAGACTCTAAAGCAGAAGCGGAATCTTCTCGATGCGAGACACGAATGAGCAACGATAATGCGTACGCAATGAGACGGAGTGGTTACTTGCGCGTGATCGTCAACGTGTCATCGTCGTCGTCGTCGTCGTCGTCGTCGTCGTCGTCGTCATAGTTAATGTTACTCACGTGTGTGTGTGTGTGTGTGTGTGTGTAAGAGTGTATATAGTCGCTACCTCGTTTGCATTTTCATCCGCGGAGTTACCGATAAACATGCATTTTGCTTTAGATTACGCGCATCTGGAAAAACACGGCAATAAAACTTATCCCCGTGGCGAACGAGCGACGGAGATGCAGGCTCTGAGAGCAGGCTGAGGCAGGACGATAAAAATGTCCGACGCGAAAAGACAAGACGACACGGTCGTGAGGAGGAAAAAGTGTGCCACCTCGTGCGCGACGTCGTCGGGTCGCGCTGTTGCGCGTTATGTTACAATTGAAGTACATGCGATCGCTCCGCGCCAGGATAACCGCGTATTATTCTGGGATAACTACGAATTATTCCAGGATAACTACGCGTATCGCGGCCGTTTCTATAGCATGTAACGGTCTCTTCAATTGTGAGCATAACAAACACACACACACACACACACGAAAATACACACGCACAGACACGGACAGGAGAGACGTGTGATGTACTTCTCGGTTCTCTACGAGGAATCGGACATGCAGGAAGAATGTACAGACGAGTCATTGTCTTTTCGGCGACAAGAACGACGCTACATTGTCGTGTACAAACCGGCCGTGTCGTCGTGCTCCCCGCGCTCTCTTTATCGCCGTGATTTTTCCACGCGATCGAGCGATCCTAGCGAGTAAGATTTTTGTAGCCGGATCTTGAAGATTCTCATTCGCTATGAGTTGATTTCTTTTCTCAAATAAAAGCATACTTGGACGAGCTCCCGATCCTCTGTTTTGTCTTCATCCCGTCGCGATGGCCGCGCCTCTGTCTCTGCAGGTCTCATTTCGCCTCGAGTACAAATTTAATTGCAAGCATTAATTCTCTCTCACCCGCTCCGTCTCTTTTTCTCCCCCTCTCTCTCTCTCTCTCTCAGCAGCGCACCCTTTTTTCAAGAGTACAAGCTCACGTTAATAGAACTAATTGCTTTGAGACGCGCTATATAGATGCGACACTACTCACGCACTACACTCACTATACCGTCGTCGAGTCCTTGCGCGCTTCCTTGGACAGAGCATGTCTAACAGAAAGATAAGAGAAACACACGCGCGAACGAGCGAAACGGATAAGAGCAGGAGATCGTCCGTGGATTGTCGAAAATCCGGCGTTCGTACGGGGCGTAGAGGGAGAGACTTGTGGTCCCCAGGTACCGGTGACGGCAGAGATAACACATTAACACCCCCTTGGTTGGTAAGATTTTATTTTTTTGTTTCTTTCATTTTTCTTCTTGATTGAGTTTGGATTACTTGACTCATTTTCTTTCGTAAGTAAAGTAAATAAGTAAGTAAGCAGGGGGGCAATGTACACATAAATAAATACATTATATATGTCGGCCGCGCACGGTTCACGAAACAGACCACTTGACGAGGCGACTTCCCTTTTGCAGGGCGGCGGCGGGCTGGTGCAGCAATTGAGGAAAAGTTACAGCCTCAGCGACCTGACCGGCGAGAAGGAGGACGAAAATAGAAACACACCCGACACGCACGACGAGACGGACGTTCAAGGTACGCCTGATCACCAGCAGGCAGTTCCGGTTAATCGAGCGGCAATTTCCGATGCAAAAAAATCGCGTTCGTGCGCTTCTAGACTAATCAGTAAGAAATCACACTTGCAGCGGAACCTCGTCGAAGAGAGCACGTCGGCAGGAGGGGCTATAGTCCTCGCAGGACCCAGTCCAGCAGCAATCGAGTAGAGATGTACTTCTCCGAGGTGGATGTCGATGTTCGACAGCCAAGGCCTAGAGAACCCGTAGCTAGTTTAACGTACGTCAAGCCAAGAATCTCTCTCTCTCTCTCTCTCTCTCTCTCTCTCTCTCTCTCTCTCTCTCTCTCTCTCTCTCCTTCCAGTCACCTCGCCGAGATGCTAATCGATTCCTTTTGCGTTGTGCAGAAATATAAGGTCTTCGGACGACATATCTAGTGGATACAGCAGCGGCGAGGCGCTGCAGTCTCATCGCGCGGCCTCTCAGGGTGACTCGTTAGTGAGAACGTCGAGCGTGGGCGCGAGAACGCGCTCGAAGCCTCGTTCCGCCACGAAGAAGACGCCAGAAGTAAGCCGATGCAATAGTAGTAGTCGTGCAGAGCGACACGCGTACATTAACGACGCGCCGGTTGCGAGAGAAAAACAGTTGCATATGTAGTAAAAGAAAGAATCTCCCCTCGACCATCTGTCTCAGCTCGGTTAATGACACGTACTTCTTTTTGTGGTCTTTGAAGGACAGGGACGAGGATTTCGACCGCATCGATCTTTCACTTCCCGAAAACACTTCCCTCCCGTCGTCCCTGAATGCCCTTACTCCCGAGCAAGCTGTCGAGCTCTTGCTGTTGCTCTCTCGGAACAAATCGGAAGATGGTCAGACCGTCGCGCGCGCCGATGGAACCGCGGACGCGAATCGATCCGCGGTGAAAATAGACGAGCACGAGTCGCCGCCGCCGCCGCCGCCGCCGTCGTCGTCGTCGTTGTCTTCAACGGAATCAAGCGGACCCGCATTCGTCGACGCGGACTTTCCTCGAGCGGACGTCCGGACGGTGCAGACCATAGAAATCGAGAATATCTCGACGGAAAACCTGTCGATAGTCCGGCCGGGTCCGGACACTTCCGCGAGAAGAGAATCCGATCCGCGACGAGACGAGGCCGACCGGCCGATCGAATACATCGACGACGGCGAGGTGAAGGGTGAAGGGCGAGCGGTCTCAGCATCATCCGCAAAGACCGACGTAAGCAGCGATGGTGAACACGTCACCGATGAGATCTGCCAACAGAGATTCGACGAGCTGAAGCAGTTGTTGAGCGATGCGCACCGAGCGGTGACCGGCATCGTATCGTCGCGAGAAAGCCTGAACGTGACCGATCAAGGTAAGAAACGCGACGAGAGCGTGCCGGGGACGCAGGCCGACGACGAGCCTGTGAGCGGCCGCGCTCGCCACGACGTCGCCGCGGCCCAGCGTCCCGTCACACCAAGTTACACCCTCGACGAGGATAACCGCGCCGGGAAGTATCATAAGAAACCGGCGCCCAAGGCGCCGCTGGCGAGCCAGGAGGACGACGTTAACGAGAACGAGCCGGAGAACGCGCTGAAGGCCACCCTGGTCATCAAGACCGGCACGTTGAGAACATTTTCCAACGCGGACGTCACGAAGGACGTTTTCCTGGCGCACGCGCCAGCGAATAGCTCGGCGAAGAAGAAGAAAAAGTCCGGCAAACTGCGCGCTAAGGAGAGCTTCTCCAAGCTGTTGACGATCCCGAGGAACATCTTCCACAGCGCCTTCCACAAGGAGCAGAACGAGTCCTCCTCCAAGGAGGAGGACTCCAGCTCCAGCACGTTGTCCGAGACCAGCGGCTCCGCGTCGCGCTCGGGTAGCGTCAGTAGCTCCCAACTGTTTGTGGACACGTCCGCGAAAATGTCAAGCTCCTCGAAGCAGGAAGCCGACGTGGAGGAAATCCCGCTGAGACCGGAGCGCGATGACGAAGCCGGGGACCCCGGCAAGAGCGTCGACCGCGAAACAGCTGCACCTGGGATCGTAACTCGCAATAAAGCCGAGACAGGTCTCGACAAAATTGGAAGCGACAAGGCGGAGGACGAGCGCGCGACAGAGAAGCTCGGGGAGAAAAGTGCCGGGAATAAAACCAACTCGGAGCGATCTCTTCATGACGGCAGAAAAGAGATCGTCACCGACATTTAAGAGCGCCTCGCGCGGCAGAATCGCACCCGGACGCGGTCCAATAATTATTCACTGCGTGTACCCGTTTTGTCTGATGATTGTCTTCGAAGTGCGAGAAGAGCTTGATCCCTTTCCTCCGTCTCCTCTTACCCGTCTCGTCGCCCGCACCGACCTCTCCTCCCCTCTCACTTTGTCTTAATCGGAAATCCAGGCAGAAGAGATGGACTGATCCGTCTAAGATCGTATGGACTAGTTTCTGAGTGTCTTGTTAATCCACGGTTAACTCCGGCTCCCACCCTGATCGTAACATGTAACATGTAATCTGCCCCGCATGCCCGTTAATTTCTGACATGGCGTATTGTAACACACACACACACACACACACACACGCACACGACTAATCGCTGCACAGCATTTGTAGAACTTCGCCAACGGCATAATTCGCTTGTGGCTCTGACGCTTGAGAGGTCTGCTCCTTACGACTGACTTCTCGCGACGATCGATACTTCTTGATCTGACTGAACTCTTTGACCTTCGACATGCGAAATGCGCTTGTTCCTCCTCCCCTCTCGCGGTCTACTAACCAGTTTACGATTGAGAACGCGATGACACGCGAAAAGACACACCGCCGGATTGATCACGCCGCCCGAGTCTCACGATAGACACGACAAGCCGGTAATAGCCACGTTTTCGTGTATTTCAGATAACGAGTTTCGCTACCCTGCCTCGTAGTAAGAAGACCAGTAAGAAGAAAGTGGCATGAAACCTACCCGCTGCTGACCACATCAAGGAATAAGACCAAGCCTCTTCCTGGAGGTAGGATAACGGAGGATAAAAAAGAAAAATTCTTCGTCGGCGTGTCGAATCTGATTTTGCAGAGCGGATTCGCACGGGCACACATGGGTCAGCAGCGATTCATAGCGAGATCAAGCGAAAGGCGCGATGTGTACACAACTAAATGTCTCGGGCACCAGTATTTCTCTTGATTCAGCCTTCTACGACTGCGTCGACTTAATTTCCGAATCGTTAATCTCTCATCGTGTACGGGGGAAAATTCGGTTCTCCTCTCCTCGCCCTGATTTATTCTCGAGCTTATATCGGCGGATGAGGCGCATGAGGCCAGCCGTTGCGATGGCCTCGCATCATTTCCCGAGGGGAAAAGGCCGCGTATGAAAAATATATTTCTATCAAAATCCGCCTGGCCGGGTCGCGATAACATCGTTGCTCACAGTCATCCCGAAATGTTGTTACGTTCGATGATTTTGCCGTGTGTACGTATCCAACCCAAACCTCGTGAGTGAGTTTTAGCTTTTATATGATAACGTTTCGGTAGCGCTGGTAGTTGGAGAACTCGATACATATTGCACGCAGTGTATCTGCTTACGAATAGGCTTTGATTATAACGTAACGAAACTTGCCATACTCGCGGTGTAGTGGCGAACGACGTAGAAAATAAAATAACGGCTCGTTATTCCTGCGTTCCCGCGAACGAGATCGACGGCGACGGCCGAGCGGGAGAGCGATCGTCGCGGAAACGATCGAGGAATCTTGCGTACAGAGCGACTGCGAAATTACGTAGAACGACTTTGATAATATCGTAATCGAAATCAAGTCTAGTCAACGGAGAAAATGGATAGAGAAACTCAGGCCGTACTGAAGTAATAGTGCCACACGATCGACCGCAATTCCCCTTTGTTACCGAGTAGTAATCGCTCGACGGACTGTGTCTACGGTAACTACGGTTGTGCGGTGTGCTTCGCGAGAGAGAGAGAGAGAGAGAGAGATTGCGCGAACTGTATTAGCTTGAATTGTGCGTCGCGAAAGTTCGAAGGCTCTAGGAGCGGCGCGAACTTCTCGCGGGCCGTAGGGAGGTAACACGATCCTGCGTAAGGACCAACGATTTGTCGTGATTAAGTTGGGACAAATTGCATTAGCGACATCGTTAATGTTAACGTTTTGTGAAATAATTAATCCGTTCTTCGTGCACTCGTAATTCCCGAAAGCGTCGTACTAACGTGCACTTTGCTAGCGAGTATCGTATGGACACACACACTGTACCGTCTAACTTTTTCGTATCGATTTGACCGCGTTTGTAATTTAGGATTTATCTTGCTTGGCTCGTTACGCACGAAGTAAACGTTCACCCTGACTAATTTTCACGATTACACTTCTCGTAATCTCGCGTGTCGGGCGTCATGTATTCTTCAGCACTTTTAGCATTTGACAGAGGCACTTCTCAATTGTCGCTAAAATCAAGGAATTAAAAAACTGTGATTGGTTTGGTGTTTGAGAGGCTCTCTAGAGGCTCATGAACGTGCGAAATTGGAAATTGTACGAGCGACTCTTGTGACAAAGTTGTGACGCAAAAGAGTACATGATGCCTGACGCGCAATTTTATATCTTCTCGTTATACAGCGGACGATTTTGTAGAAAGACTTACGCACAAGTGCTATGATTATTTCAAATTTAATTAGCATACGTTGACGAATCTGTATAGTTTATCGTGCCGTACTTTATAAACGTTCGTTGTGTAGCTTAGGCAAAATTAACAGTATCGCATAATGTGAATATAGAAAAAAGAAAAAAACGGGAAGAAGAAGAAAGAGAAAAGGGCGCGGGACGTGGCGTTAATTTATATTAGTTGAACACTCGATGAGCAGGATATACTCGATTTGTTACTCGACTAACGATTGTTGATTTTACGTGTACATGTTCTAAGCGAAGTTCACGATGTATAATCGGTAAAGCAAAATGTAGCAAATGCTTCGATTCACTTTGCGAAGTGTATGTAAAAATCGTGTAAATGTAATCGATACGAAGGAACGACTGTATCGTTACCCACGCGCATGTATACGCGCGGAATAGATATTTTTATCGAAAGCAAATGTAACAATATTCGCCCGAAATGAAGATAACACATTTGCTGCATTTTACTTGCATCTTCTAATGCGACTCGTTGAGAAACAATAATTCGTACTTGTCCCGAACTTTATATGTGCGAACGTATGTGATAAAAGAGGAAGATGGAGAGTGCACATGTATGTATGTGTGTGTGTGTGTGTGTGTGTGTGTGTCATGTGCGTGAATGTGAGAAAAGAAGCTCAACTACAAATCTCTACTGAATACAGTCGGTTTCCTAGATCTTGTATATCACTTGTTCTTTGTAAGTATTACGCCTCTGGCGCATAAATTGTGTGTCCTGAGCTATTATGGTGCTGCGAACTTTATAATTTGTTTTACCAATTATATATCTCCTCAGCGGATATAAGGATATGAACACATTCGAGAATACTTTTAATGCAAAGTTACTCTCTGCTCCTGGGGTTCTCGAAGAATTACCGAAGATGCGATATGAGATTGGTTTAGCGGTACTTCAGTTCAGATATAGTGTAGTAAATAAATGATATTGAAGTACGATATATACACGTGATGATTTCCCGCATCTCATTTGTTCCAATACCAATACTTTCTCTCCGAGATTTCCTTCTCCTTGTATTATAATTGATCGTCAAGCTAGAAGAATCCTTGCTTATATTTCTCTCTATGCGCTTAGTATATAAAAATAAAAGTTTATTCGCAATCGTTCTACTAAGGAAAAATAATAATTCTACTGAGGAATTCTCTCCGAGTTGTGCTATTGGAAAAGAAGAGATCTCTTGACTTGCCGTTGAAACATGCCACATTGCGAGAGAAATTCAAATCGACATGAAGCACAAATAATGTTCGAGAATCTGCTAATTTTATGGAAGCAAATAAATTATGGTTTGAGTTTTAACCAAAGTTAGCTTTTTAAGTCGATCGACGTAGCTTCACTAATTATTGAGATATTAATTGAACAAAATTCACAAAGGATCGATAGAAAAATGCGGCGCCAGCAACGCAATCAAAATATATGTAAGTTTTCTTGCAAATTCCGTCGAAATGATCCTATACACACTAGCCGTAATATTAATTGCAAAAATTGTAACAGACCGATGCAATGATGCAACATCGCCGGTCGAACACAGAATCGAAATACTCGTAGGGCAGGGTTGTTGCAAAATAATGCAATGCCTTCAATAACAGATAATATAAACTTTTACTTTCAAATAATATAATGTATTCTCAATAAGATGAAGATTTAGCAACAAAGTAATTGGGATTTGGTCTTCAATTAATATAATTTATAGTCACAATGTGATTTTAAATTACGAGAATAATTGGGCAAACACTGTGAGCAATAGCTGCTTGATAGAAAATATATCGACCAAATATTCCGACGTTGCGACCCTGTCCCTGTTGAGTGCATTTGATGTCAACCGGAAGACGTAATATTACGCATTTGCCTGACAGCAGCCACAATACGGGCATTGCACCCAGAACTGCCGTTCTGATAATCTTCGGATGACAATCTCAATAATATTGACATATGTTGCAGATTCTCCGATAAACTCAGGCCAAGCTCTTCCAGTACATTGCCGAGGTAATCTGTAAGATACACAAGATGTATATAGTTTTCGCTCGTAATAGTTTGCAAAGTCAAGATGCGAGAAACTCACCGATATCTGTTGCAAGCTGCTTGCATGCAATAGAGTTCAATTGACAGATACTCAGAGTTTGATCTTGAAACATTTGGCACGTTCCTCGAGCAACGATGTCCAAAAGGATACCGGTGAATCCCGATTCCGTTGATCCTTGGGCGTATTGAGGATCTGCCGCTTTCAGCGCTTGCGTCAGACTCGGATTGTCCCTGAGTAAAAACGGCTCCAAGTGCTGTGGCAACGTCATTAGATATTGCCCGACTTGCGTAATGTATTCCTGCGGAGCGAAGCTGTAATCGGGCAGGTCCGAACTCAGGTTGGACATCTTGTTGGTCTCCAACGACCAGGCTGGCGCCTTCTGCACCAACAACAGCTGAGAAAATATCGGGGCGAAGATCACTTCATACGTAGTGTGGTGCAAATCCGAGCAGAGCTTTTGGATCGATCTGATGATCGAATCGAGGATCGTCTTGTCCTCTGTAACGAAAGTGATCGATAATTTATATTTGATTTATATCGTATTTTATATCGTAAGAACTGTGTGATATCCCATTAACAGGTATCGTCACGTTACCATTAAACGTACCTCTTTGGAAAGACGCGATTAAAGTTTCCAGATCGGCACACCCAGACGCGTTTAGCAGCAACTTCTTATAGTGACAGAAAACACTGCCATTTGTACTCTGTAATTTATTGTTAGCCTCCGTGATGTCGATCACCAGCGATTTCTCAAATTGCTGCACTTGATGTAAGAGATCACCTGCGCAGAGAAACACGCAATAAAATTAATCAAACGAATGCTTGCGAGGTATTTCGTTTGAGCAGTCGAGCAATGGAGTCACCTATGGTTTGCATTAATGTGAGACACATCTGAAACAAATTCCAATCCTCGTGTTTCACCTTTCTCCGTTCGAGCAGCCTCAGGCCTTGCTGATATTTTTCTAGATATTTGTTGAAATAAATCTACGAGACGTAAGAAAAGATAGAATGGATATTTATCTTTTTTATCGCGCTTTTTTATCGTTTACGAAAAGAGGAATCTTGATGAAGACATACGTTTAACGAGTGCAATAAACCGGAATATCCGCAACCTTCGGTGAAAAGCTTACACCGTTTGTTGGCTTCGTTGGCGTAACCCATGACCCGCGAAATGCTAAGTGAAAGGGAATTGATAGTATCACTCAGGTCGTCATGCGAACGATCCAAAAACTGGAGTTGCTGTTCCAGCTGCGCGGTCTCGAACGTACTGTACTTGGCGACATAAGGGACATAAGGCGCGTATACGGCCTGCGCCAGCGGCAGCAATTTCTCATTCTGCAATTTACCGCGAAGCGACGTTTCGATAGCACCGTTCAGATTCACAGCAAAATGTCTCGTCATCTGTTTCAGCTCTAACAATACGGACAACTGCACCGCGTTGGAATGTTGCTTCAGCACCGCCTCTATACACTCTGGAATGCCAGGATCTAGGCTTCTCAAAAGGTCAGCGTAGACCTCGATGAGGATGTGTATCGAAGTATTGGGAAACACTTGGTGGCACCATTTCACCTTCAACACGGCAACGGGCATGAGAAACTTTCGCAGGTAGCGATATTAATATTTTTTCATCGGGAAGGGAAGGCATACTTGCTCGTGCCAGGAGGATAACAGTTTATCGTAATACGTGTGCAACCAGTACGTAACGTTCTCGTCCTGAGCTAACTCGATGGTGCGTCTCCATTCTTGCCCCAAGGAGACCTTCAGACAATTGTGATAATATTTGAGGAGCTGAGGCAGACGTTCCATCTTGCTAAAAATGTCCACGTAAATTTTGGATTGCTCTAAATACAATACGACAGCTGCATTAGACCGTACATCCTGCACAAGACGATCGAAATTCACTTGTACTTTACAAGGTTTTACCTAAATTGGCAGCGGTAAACGCTTGGACTAATCGCGGACTGGCCATTGCCTCGAGGCGATTTTTCAAGCCTTCCAGTTGCAGCTTTTTGTCCTCGTAATCGACCACATTAGCGAGCATGGCTAGAGACTTTTGCATGCTGAACAATTTGTTAGAGATAGCTTCTATATCTCCTGACTCAAACACCTGGCTCATCAAAGTAAGAAAGAGAGAGAGAGAGAGAGAGAGAGAGAGAGAGAGAGAGAGAGAGAGAGAGAGAGAGAGAGAGAGAGAGAGAGAATTAAGTTTCACCGAGTTGTACAGATTGAAATCACGAAATGCTCACATACCTCCTCCACGTCATTCGCCAGCACCGTCCAATTGTCAGCCTCGTGCAATCCTTGTTTGGCAGTTTGTAATTCTGTTTTTATTCTGTCAATTTTCTCCAGCATTGCCATGGAAGAAGCAGTGTCCTTCTCCACCTGTGTTCTCAACGAGTGTTTAACGTTATTGGTAAACGCACGATTACGGAACGGCACATCTGATCAAACAATCCAAATGCACAGACCTTGGCGATCTCTTGTTTGACAGCAACCATTTTCTCTCTCAGTGCTAGTGTTTCCTGCTGTAAGAGTTGAGTGTCTCTCAAGATCCTCGGCAAACTGGAAAGTACCGATTGACTGGTTTCCTCCAAGGCACCATTAACTTGTTGCACATACAGCTGCAGCTTCATCACCAATGATGAGACAAAAGCCTGCGGAGCAAACTCAACTCATATCGCTGACATTCAAAAGGAAATACCCCGGCTATTATTAGCGATGCATCACATTTTCATAAATTCGCGGCTGATAATCAGCAAAGATTCATATCTGCATAATACTTTATTCGAAAAACATATGTACGGAAAGATACGCGTGTGTATCGCCACAGGCAATGCGCATTAGGCCTCCGTTCGTTTTGTCTGCACTGTTGAACTGGTGCATTAACTTAAAGTGAGACAAACGTAGGTTTTCTCACTTTAACTTGTCGCACCAGTTCAACAGTGCAGACAAAACGAACCAGGCCTATTAATTGTCCGTCGGTAATGCCTCAAATTTTCGAACGTGAAGACGCGCGGCAGTGGCAGAGCGTTGCTCTCCGTTGCGACCGATAGCATGTGCCTACGTCAGCGTGGAAAAAGAAAAAGTTGTTTTTAAAAAAACACGGCCGGTGTCATTGACCGCCCCGCGTGCAGTGCGAGCCGTCAGTTTGGCGGTCGGACGTCGCGACGTGAAAATACGAAAAGCGCTCGTCAACTCGAGCGAGGGGAAAGCGGAGGTCGGCGGAGGCGGCTGGTGCCCGACGACTTACGTCCTTATTCTCCTGCGCCTCGGCGGACTTGAACGTCCGGTTGATCCATTCCTTCACGTCGAAGTTATCCTCAGAGAACGCGGAGACATCCTGAAAAGCGCCGTTTTGAGGTTAGGAACGCGAACATTAAGTCTGCCATCGAGCGTCCCTCATCCCATCCACCATCTAAACCGGCCCCTCTCTCTCTCTCTCTCTCTCTCTTTCTCTCCCATCATCGCGATTACTCCTTGCTCATGATGGAAGCAGCCCGTCGGGCCGCTTTTGCGGAAAATCTATCGATCGCGACCATAAGCTCGTGCGTCATAGCGAGCGAGCGAGTGAGCGAGCGAACGAGTGAGTCGGGAAAGAGCAAAAGGAAAAAAAGCAAAAGGCACAGGACCGACGCCGTTCCGTCGGCGCGCTCGCTTACCATGGCAGAGAGAATCGCGTTCTCCGTTCCGTCGGCGCCACGCCGGCCGTCGGGAGTCGTACGTGTCTCGTGGCGATCCTGGACCACCGCCGCCGCCGCCGCCGTCGCTGCCGTCGCTGTCGACGACAAAGTGCAGCGCACCAAGGTCAGCTCTTATATATTTCCTGTTCGTTTATATTCGTTAGCTTGCTCGCTCGCTCGCTCGTTCGTTCCGTCGTTCGTTCGTTCGTTCGTTCACGTCGGTATCGTCAGTCGCCACCGCCACCGCCGCTACCGCCGCCGCCGCCGCTGCTGCTGTTTCCACCGCCACCGCTACCTCCACCATCATCGTCGCCGTGGTATCGCGTCGAGTGGCGCGCGGCACGAAGAGTCGCAACGCACGAAACGCGCCCGGCTGCAATCGCGGTCGCCTCTCGCGAAGCGTTCGCCAGCTGTCGCGTCGAAATCTCGCGATTTCCTCAACGACCTACCGCATATTCCGCCGTAGCGTTCGTCTCCTCTGTGCGTCGTCGTGCGTACGTGCGTGCGTACGTGCGTGCGTGCGTGTGCGCGTTCGTCGCTGGCGAAAGGAGCTAGAGAAGGATAGAGAAAGAGGGAGAGAAAAGAGAGGCAATAAATTCACGCGACGGATCGATCGCGCGGTGCATCGTGCCACCACGGACGACGACAACGACGACGACGACGACGACGACGACGACGATGAAGACGACGATGAGGAGAAGGAGGAGGAGGAGGTCGATTTCCTCACGGCAGGGCGTCGCGCGCGCTTTCTAGGTTAGCGCGGCTTTTTATCGTCCGGCAGTCCAAGGAAGAGAAACGGCGGCGGGCGGGCGTTTTATCGTGCGCGGTGCGTCACGGAAAATGCGTCGGGCAATCTCGATAGTAAGCGAGAGAGAGAGAGAGAGAGAGAAAGAGAAAGAGTGCGAGTAAGAGAGAGAGAGAGAGAGAGAGAGAGTGTGTGTGTGTGTGCGTGCGAGTGAGAGAAAGAGAAAGAGAGCAAAAGAATGGTCGAGAGAAGCGTATAGATTGTGTATGCGTGTGTGTATGTGCGAGAAAGCTGGAAAACAAGGAGTAGAGAGAGAGTGAGAGACTAAGAGAGTGAACGACGAAGCGATGAAGCGAGAGGGACGTCTTTCAATAGCAACTGTGATAAAGACGACTTTGTCTCAAATTCCAGACGCTCATGCCGTTTGCCGGTGCCGAAGAGGCCCCTCGTTGGACGACGCCGCGGCCTCCTCCGTCTTGCACCTCCTACCCCGTCGTCGCGTGCTCGTGAGTCCCGCGTTCCTGACTGGAGAGCGAAGGCACGTTTACCCGTTTGTTTTGCGGCCAGGCTACATCCTACTCCGCAGGTGGTGCGTAACGAGGCAGCGAAAAAAGATCAAGGGGGAGAGAAAAGGAGAGAGTGAGACAGAGATAGATACATACACACACACACACACACACACATACATATATATATATATATACACACACAGGAGGGGGAATGGAAAACGGCACGTTATCGGCCGCTTCCGGGCCCTTTGTCGATTGCCACGCCTTCGAAACTGCGTTTGCGCCTCGCCATTTGCGCAACAGTTGGAAGTTGGAATATTTTTGCCTCCCCGAAAATCACCCCCGCACGCGGCCCAAGTAAGGAGGGAGAGAGAGAGAGCTTCGCTGTGCCTGCCCATCGTCGTGGACGAAAATCCAGGAGCCTGCTCGCTGGCCCGGCCTGACCTGGCTGGCTGGCTGGCTGTTTGCCTAGCTGGCACTCCATCTCGCCCTTTCGTTTGGAAGAGGGCGGCCGTCGACGTTCCGTGACTCGTGCGCACACATGGCCGATTGCCGTACGTTAGTTACATGCACTTATACGCGGTGTCCCCCCCCCCGAACACGCGCCCGCTTCCTTGCTTAGAGTCGCTTGAGTTGGCGAGACGATTGTCGGTAAAATTGCAAGGCCGCTGCTCTTGATATTAATCAGTGATGATTTCGGTAAAGCTGCAGCAAAAGAACCGCGCGCGCGATCGACGACGATGACGACGACGACGACGACGACGACGATGGAATCTTCGAGCGAGAGGAAGCGCGCGCGTGTCGCGCTGTGGAACACCTCGTGTGTATACCGCGTTACATACTTGTACCGTTTCATACGCTAAATTTAACAGCTGACCCGATCAATTAACACGAAGGCCTGGACGAAGGCGTAGTTGCGTATTTGCGGCGCGCCGCCCGTTCCTCTTTTATTTCCCGCGCACAGCGGCGCGTGCTCGCGCTGCTCTCCTCCTGCCGGCGTCGAAAACGCGCACCGGCAGCGACCGGGAGCGACTCGAGATCCCGCCGCCGCGCGAGCAATGCCGGCCGGAGCGTCGTCGTCGTCGTCTTACGCAACAACACGCTTCGCGCCACGCACTTACAGATGCATCCGACGCATCGATGCAGAGATCCGATTTTGCGCACTGTTGAGCGACCGTCTTTTGCAAAAATTATACGCCACGAACGAGAGTTCCTACCTCCGCCGACACGGTGGAACGATCTGGCCCGACTTATACCACATCAATATATACCGATTCGATGCGTGGCGACAAAATTGTAAGGGTTTTTTTTTTTTCACAATCCAACCTACACTCTCCAATCTGGCATTGTAGATTCTCTCACGATCGGTAGATGCGCCTCCCGCGGCCTCTCTATCGGCGCATTGTATGTCGACGCCGTCGACACGCGGCTAGACAGTAAGGACTCATGGAAAAAAGATCGCCTCTACAACAACGACAGCCCTTTCCCCTCCCATCCCGCTACGGAATTGCCGTTTATCCCACAGCTCGTACATCCAACGGACGTACCTCGACTCCGCTAGTCTGTCCACAAGTAACGATCGTACATCAACTGGCATCGCAACGTGCGAAATTCAGCCATCGAGAAAGAGAGAGAGAGAAAGAGAGAGAGACTCGCCCGATACGTTCAGGATTACCGCGCGAGGAGTATCCGTTGTTGGATGTTCGTGCTGTGCCGTGACGAGCGCGCGATAGACGTCCGCTCGCAGCGGCACCGGCGGTGCCGATCGACGGAGACACGACCGCGACACGCTCCGCTCCGTTCATCGGATAGTGCGAGAGAGAGAGAGAGAGAGAGAGAGAGAGAGAGACCCGACAATTCCGCCGCTCCGCGACAGTCCGATCGAAGCGCCAGCATTTTTCCAGAGCGGCGGAATCGCGGAGTCGCCACCCCGATAGCTGTTCTCCGGGCCTCGTGCACGGCCATGTAGTACAACACTCGGGGCCTGCTGGAAAGGGCAAGGAGAAGCATCAGCGGCCTTGAGGCTGGGTAGCAGCCAATCCCAAGCCCCCGCTCGCTAAAGGAGGTGGCGCGGGATTGGCTGAGCGTTCTCCACGGTGCCGAGCGACTTCCGGGCGCTTCCGGTCGGGACCACAGGCCGATTCCTCACGAGCGGCAGGGCCCCTGGTGAGTTCAGCGTGCAGGTAACGCCGATTCTTCTCTATTTCTTCTTCTTCTTCTTCTTCTTCTTCTTCTTTTTCTTTTTCCTCTTCTACTACTATTACTTGTTTTTCGCCTCTCTCGCAAGCACTGTCCTCCCAGCACTCTGTTCGAGCAGCAGCAGCAGCATCCGAGAATTGCAAGTAGGTGTCAAATGCGCGATTAACCGGTCGCCGATCGGCGATCTCCCGCGATCGAGTCTGCAAAAATCTGACATTGCTGTCGCCTCGGCGGCGGATCCGCGAAACGATGTGATCCCGGTGAGTTTTGATTTTCGCTGACGTTCACCGCGAGCCGATCGTCGCGTTTCACCGCGGCGAGCAGAGATCGCTTTCCGCGCACGCCTACGCTCGACGATTCCGAGGTTATGCCGCTCCAGGTCCTCGAGACTCCCTGCCATTTCACGCGAGTGTGATAAACAAACGTGCGCGTGCCTCGGAGATCGGCGACCGAACGAAGTGACCGGACGAAATGCGATCTCGCGCGACGGTCGGTTCGTATCGGCACAGTGCGCCCCGGGAAATCATCATTTCGGCGAGTTCGACTTTCCAACACGCACGGTCGCGAGAAGTGTGCACGCATTCTATTTGTCGAGTGGCGAGACGCGAAGGTCATTTTCTACAACCGGCAAGAGCACGATCCCGGCGAAATTATTCCGGTTTCGAACTTCCTCCGCCTGCCTGCCCTGCGAGCCAGTTTCATAAAAAAATATCCCGGTAAATTGACTGGTATTTACCGTGATATTTAGCATGAAACGTCGGGGAGCTCCTGAACGCAACTCGACGCTGGCTGGTGCAGCACAGAAAATCGATCTCTTGTTCTCCCGTCTGTTTCTTTTTCTCCCCCCCCCTCTCTCTCTCTCTTTCTCTCTCCGCCTCGTTTCTCCCTTTCTTCCTCTCCCCCCTCCTCTCTCTCTCTCTCTCTCTCTCTCTTTTTTTATTTTGATATCTTTTTTCGTCGTACGTTTTCGCGCGCGCAAAACGCCACTCGACTTGCCGGCGCGTACAATTCTCGCGGCGCGGGAAATCGATCTCGCGTGTCTTTTTCTTTTCTTTTTCGCGCGCGCGGAGGAACGCGACGTTGCCGATTGCCCGAGGGCGATTTTCGTTGCGATTATGGACGCTGATGAGCCGCATTCGCTATTATCATTCCCCCCCTTTTACCACCCCTGCCGTACCCCTCACTCAGGCGCACACACACACACACACACACACGCATACACACATACCCAAACACAGCGGCACACAGTCGGTCTTCGAACTCTGGTGTCGGCCCCCGATTCTTTCTTTTTTTTTGGGGCGGTGCTGTGTCACACTCTGCGGCTGTGATACGTTACATTTGGTCCAGCCGATATACGTGCATATTTCTTTCTCATCCTCCCGGTCCCTAGCAGCGCACATGAAACCAACGCTTCGGCTATTTTACTGTCCAGCTTGGTTGCCACGTTAAGTTTATCAAGATAAATAGACCCTCAGACAATTACTCATACAGACTCAGGGGCGAGTACTTGTGGTTAGGGTGCTGTGTATTGTGTGTGAGAGAGAGAGAGAGAGAGAGAGAGAGAGAGATGTGTATACATACATATATATATATATATATATACATATACATATATATATATATATACACATATACACATACATATATATATATATATGCATTATAATTACCATATTATGCTCCCAACTGCACGTACTTCATTATCGGCACTCCCTCTTGCGAAATGAAAGCCTCCTCTTAGAATATGCTCTTTGCTAAAGTAGTGCCGTACTTTTAATCACGTAACGACGTGAGTTTACGACTGGAGAGTGCGATGGTGCCATAACTCACAACCTCGCTGTGTTTCCATCTACTAACGATTTTATCGATCAGAGAGACATACGTATCCTTACGGTTCTCGCGATGCGGAAGTGAAACTTTCGGCACGTTTCGTCGAGCCGATTCTTCGATGTTACAGTTCGCGCGCGAGGGTGCGCTCCTCGCCGTGTCGCTCGCGCGAGACGCACCGATCGTTTTCGCCTTCTTGTAGCATCGAAGTCTGAGTTACACCGACATTGCGTCTCTCTCCCTCGGGATTATCGCTTAACGATAAACGAAGCGGATCCCGGTTTGCAAGCTCGCGCGACGTTCTACCTGCTTGGGAACAGTCCTTCACAAGGCGTGACCTTCGGGGGACGGAATATTCGTGGGTGGAAACGCGCGAGTTCCTGCTGTCTTTAATCCCGCGGCTCGGCGGAACTTCCGGAAGACAAGCGGCGGCCTCTGGTCCTGGTATTCTTTACAAGGTAAACATTTCGGCAAGCGCGTCGATGAGGCGAGATAAAAGATCTCCCTTTCATCTCGCTCGATCAACCGCTCCTACTACCATCCGTGGATACTGCGCTGTCCTGACGCGCTTCACTCCTGCTCCTCCTCCGCCATCCTTCCTTATCATCCTGTTAAACCAGTTTTCATCATGAGAAAGAAAACGAAACATTTTTCCTCTTGAAGAAGGCCGGGGAAACATGCGACTGCTAAAATCGCTCGCGCTTCTTGACTCGGGGAGAATCGAGCGAATTCGTAGCTTTTATTAAATCCACGTCATATATCTTGAGAAAGTCGTAATTATAGTTACAGATACGAATACGAAGGAAGAGAGAGAGAGAGAGAGAGAGAGAGTGAGAGGGAGGTGGGGGGAAGGAAGGAGAAGAAATTCGAACAGAGCGGAATATTTTTGTTCCTCGTGACAGTTTATTAAAACAGCCTCGCGCAATTCACCGACGCGATAGGGAGTTACATTTCAATCGGCCCGATAATTCAGCGGCCGATTATCCTCCTCGAGAGATTTGATCTAATTGAGATCCCCGTGTCGCAATGAAGCGTTTCTTATCGTTGCGTGCTCGGCGCGATAATGGAGTTACGACGAGAGCGAAATCTGTTCGTTGACCCTCGAAGAGCCGAACGACGCAATCGGCGTTATCTCGGCGAGAACCTCGCGATTCTTGACCTTCTCCAAGATCTCGTAAGTGGCGGATCGCTGGCAATATCGCTGTCGCGCGTAGCGGCGCCGACGCGCGTTCCTTTAAAAAAGAGCATCGAGCCCCGCGTTAGAAAGGTGAAAGCGTGCGCGAATCGAACAATCGACAGAATCCGGTCGCGATATCTCTCCGCGGCGCGCGGTTGCGCCGCCGACAGCCTTTGATCGGCAGACTCGCGCGCTTCCATTTCCGGAATCGCAGGAGCTGTATACTCGCGCGCGGTAAGCGGGTTGTAAGGTCGCGACGAGGGAACGTTTCGGGGACGAATTCGGAACGCTCGTAACTAAAACAGCAGCGACCCCGAATTCGTCCGCCACGCAGCGTTACCTCGGAAATTTCCAATCTCAGTTTTCGATATTCCGCGGGCTGACGCTCGAGCTCGAAATTAGATCGCCGTCAAGGTCTGCTTAAAATTAATCGTGCAACCACATTGGAACGTCGAAGCTTATCGCGACGGGACTCTCCAGGACGGAATTTTCGGTCGGACGATCCTCGATAATCGCGAGTTTCTCGGCCAACGAAGTATAACGAGAGAGAGAGAGAGAGAGAGAGAGAGAGACCGGCGGCGTGTACTCGAGTATTGCGAGTACTCGTCTTGGAGTCTCGTAGACTCACGACTCGACACGATGGCGAGGGCGAGGTGATTTTCACGTTGCGGTTTTCTCGTGAGAAACGAGCTCTCAACGCCCGACTTCATCGCATTCGTCTCGATTAAACGAGCCGCGGTGTAGATTACATTGTTCAGCCAAACATGTAAGCCGAAATGTCGTTAACCCGTTTAATTGCCATCCGGTGCCCGCGTGTGCGTCGTGCGTGTGTGACGTGGGAGGACGGGAAGGCGACGAAAGCGGGAGCGGGATCTCGACCCGCGCCTCTGAATGAATTTATTCGGGCGGCAGAGACTATACCAAGTGCACGGCGCTTCTGAGAAAATAAACTCTCCCGCGCTTCCTCGGCGATTCCGCCGGGCCCTCCTCGCGCGATCTCCTCCGACTTCCTCCGAGGCGAGTCTTCCTTGAAACCGATCGGTCTCTCCCTACTTTTCCTCTCCTTCTCTCTCTTTCTTTAACGTCCGTTCGTGACGACGTCGGGTTACGCGAGAAAGAAAAGAAGAGAGAACGAGAGAGAGAGAGAGAGAGAGAGAGAGAGAGAGAGAGAGAAAGAGAGAGAGAGGCCGACGCTCGCTGTCGACTGCGCGCGATTCGCTTCGCGGAGAGAGAAATAAAAAAAAACAAAAGAAAAGCTGGTAGTCGCATCGGGGAAAAAAAGAGGGGAGAAGAAGCCGGGGAGAGATATCGAATATTTTTCCTTTTTTTTCCTCGCTCCCCCTTCCTTTCAGCCCTTTCTCCTTTCTCTCTCTCTCTCTCTCTCTCCCCCTCCCCCTCCCCGTCTCTCACTCTCTCTCTCTCTCTCTCTCTCTCTCTCTCTCACCTCCTCGCACGCGTATATTGATTTTTAGAAATTCCTCGCGAGACGGGCGAACGAGCGCGCAAAGCGCACCGACCGAAGGAGCGGAGAGACCAGGAGAATCGGAGAGGGAAGAAGCGACGCGCGAACCACCCACGGCCGCGGCGACGGACGCCTTAGGGCGAGCAGCCGAGCAAACGAAGGGTATATCGCTTGGACGAGAACGAATCCATGTTGTGTTGACGAGAGAGCGCGTTCAGACAAGCGTAGAGGGACGCGCACGGTCGCGTTCGTTGAAGCTCTTGATTTGCCAATTTCCTCGAGTGGCTCGACCGGCACCGGTCCCAGAGAGAAAGAGAGAGAGAGAGAGAGAGAGAGAGAGAGAGAGAAACGTAAGGATGTCGTATCGCTCGCGGGCTGTGCACGCTGTATGCATCGCAAACAGGGGCGCGCATGTGTGCATATGACGAGAGGCACCGCACGGTAGAGTGAGGGCCGCGGAGGAGCGAGAGTTCCGCGAGATCCGCATTTAGGCCGTTAATTTTAATAACGGGGGAAATTCCCAGCCGTGTTAGGCCTAACTACACTAGACGGCCCTGTTGCGGTCGAGAGCAATCGAAGGCAGTCGGAGTCGTCCGAGCGCGCGAGCGGACGAAGCGAAGTAGTGGGGGATAGCATCCCCCCTTAACCCCACCGCCGCGTAGTATCGTCGACCCCCACTCGGCGGCAGTCGTACTGGCGTCTCTGTCGCTCCCGCAGTCGCTTCCTCTTCCCTCTCCGGTCGTCTTCCTTCTCCGTCTCGCTCGCTCCCTCTCCCTCCGTCTTGCGCTCTTCTCTCTCGTTCTAGCCCGTTCCGCCCGTTCTTAACATCAAACCACTTAGGGCCGCGGACCTCGACAGTCAGTCGATCTTTCCTAGTAGCGGCATTCCGGCATTTTCCACCTGATCGCGCGCGGGCGGTCCGGCAAACGCCATTTTGGTCGTCGTCGCCGTCGTCGTCGTCGTCGTCGTCGTCGTCGTCGCCGTCGGCGTCGTCGCCGTCGTCGTCGTCGTCGTCGTCGCCGTCGTCGTCGTCGTCGTCGTCGTCGTCGTCGTCGTCGTCATTGCCGTTGTCACCGTCTCATCGCCCACTCACGCGTCGAGAGAGTAGTCTCGTGCGTGAAACACTCCGGGCACGTTCGTATGTGCCGCGCCGCGCGTCGTTCTCGTAACAACACCTGACGGTTGCTCCAAAAAACAATACGCGTCTGTACGTAGTACGCGCGGAGCACTAAACCGTAACGCGCGTTGTTGGTGCGGTGCCGATTTGATTTCTTTTTTTTTTGTCGTTCGTTTTGCCGCTCCCGGTAGCAGAGAGAAAGAGCGCAAGAGCGAGCGAGAGGGACAGAGAGTGAGAGACAGACAGAGAGAGAAAGAGAGACAGACTTTACGCCGCCCCCGTGCGCTAGACGAGGAGGGGGCGACCAGGACGGAAAAGGACGCCGGGTGTTGTTTTTCCGTCGCGGACACACGACGAGACGAGTTGCGCGCGCGTAGCGGAGCGGAGAGAGAAGTGCGTGACCCCGCGTGTGTGTGCCATCGTCGTTCCACGTTCTTCAGCTGTAACATCCTCTCGTCGCCTGACAGGACCCACGTCGACATTTCCACGGATCCGGACGGCAGCGACGGAGCCGCAGAGCGAGGCCGGATAAGCGGAAAAAGCGTGAGTACGCAAAGTCTCTCTCTCTCGCTACGCAATTCGGCGATTCGCGTTTCGACCGTTCATCCTCTCCCTCGTCCCCTCCCGGCGCGTTCGCGCGACGCACGCTTGCTCCCTCGCGTTAGAACTTGTTTTTTTCCGCCTGCATGGCATCGCCTGCCATTTTGACCGGCGGCCTCCCTTCCATTTTCTCTGTTTTCTCCATCTCTCTTTTCCTCTTGTCTATCTTTCATTCTCTCGTGTCGCCGTCTCCCTCTCTCTCTCTCTCTCTCTCTCTATCTCTCTCTCTCTCATCTCCCTCTCCCTCTTCCCTCTCTTTCTCACTCTTGCCGTGTCGGTTTTTTCCCCGCTGTCGTTGCCTACCCGCCGTCCCTCGCCCTCCTCTACTATCCCTGCCCCTATATTCGTGGAGCGTGTGCGACGTGGTATACACGGGTGATCGAGAAATTCGCATGATTCTCTGCGCGCGCGATGTGACAAGCAAAGGCGACAAAAGCGCGTCCGATGTGAACGACGCTGTCGCCGCCTTCGTCGTCGTCGTCATCATCATCATTATCATCATCGTTGCCACCGCCGTCACCGACGCCGCTGTCAAGCACGACCTCCCTCCGCTTCTTCATTGACGCGCTCTCTCGCGTGTTTATCCGTTTCTGCGTAATTCGTGCGTGCGCGCGGTGTGGCGGGCGGCACAGAGGGGGCGAAGCGCGAGCGAGTGAGCGAACGAGCGAGCGAGCGAGCAAACGAACGAACGAACGAACGAACGAACGAACGAACGAACGAGCGCGAGAAGTGGGGACGCGCGCCGAGAGAAAAATAATACAGGTCAGGACATAACGTACCGCGGTGTGTGTCCCTGCGCCAATACGCAAGTGCCTACATACACGTTTGTGTATGTTTTTTCTTGTGTACGCGGCAGTGAACGCGCGTGTTTGTGCGTGCGTTTGTCGACGCGGCTGCTTTCCCGTTTCCTCTGCGGGCCAAGCCCTGCGAAGAGTTCTCTTCGAGATGGAGAGATACAGATGTACAAATATATATATATATATATATATATACACACGTTATAATCAAGCGGAAGAATGACAAAGACTTCTTTCATGCGTGCGATTTCTGCCGCGCAAATCTTGTCTTGTCGCCTGTAATTGCCTTGGTAAAATCGGTCGCTCGCCGCGAACGTTCGGTAGACTGTGGAAACGCGCGCGACGCCATCGCGCGCTCTCTGTCATACGCGACTAATTAAGAAGAAAAATGCGCGAAGAAGCACACATTCCCCGCGACCCGCCGCGTCGCTCTGTGGCGAGTTTCCGGGAAAAATCGTTTGCGCAGCGATTGCGTAGTGATTTCCGCCAAAGACACCGGCTTTCAACTTAGCTATTATCTTTTTTCTATACATGCTATATACGCGGAAACGAGAATCTATATATAAAAAAAAAGTGATTACATTTCTGCATTGTCACGAGACGCGAACTAGGTCGGCGGACTATTTATCTCCGTTTTATTAAAATTTCGAAAAAGATGTATGATATTTGGGTCGGAGATATTGCAAAATCTCACGCAATTCGCGACGCGATGCATCTCGCACGGCGATCTGGTGTCTATAGCTGTCTCGCGTTCCTCGATTCCGTCTATGCCCTCCTAAGAGCTCCATTCCATAGCTCGTTCGTTATTTCGAAGCAAAATATCAGACGCGCAATCGAGACGAATGCGCGGGCTCTTGAATGAGATAAATGACTGACGAAACGTATTTGGTAGAGCAACGCGAGTCGCGCGCGCGGCGTCGATTAGTACACGACGTTCGATTGAATTTCTTCCCTCTCCGCCCGCATCGGGCGCTTCCGATCTTGAAAAGGACAGCTGTTTGACTCGAATGTAAGAGAATTCAAAGCCGGTGTGCAACAGATATCCCTTAGGTAGGTAGGTAGGTAGGTAGGATTGAGCGCCGCGCAGCACGCGCGCGCTAATTCGTCGCGAATTTTCACAGTCTACTGCTTGAGAGCATCCACAGTCACGACGCGATAAACAGTCGCAAACAAGTTCGCAAGTATACTTCGCTAGGATGCGCGAGACACGGTGAAATGTGAAATGTGAAAATAAGATTGGTGGAATGCAACGCGAAATATTAGGGCGAAGGTAATAATAAAGCGCATGTACTTTCGGGCAGTACATTATCGGTTAACGCGAATGAATATAGAAGCAGGAGGACCAGAGTTAATATTGACTGAATAAAATATAACATTGCATCATACCTCATTTAAATTCAAGTGGGCTTTATTTTCTGTCAGAATTTTTACTCGATGTTTAATTAATGAAAATATTTGACGTCGGAGTTGAAAAGCTGATCGCGCGGGTTATCTCCGTCGGAATTTCCGTATGAAAAGGTCGACTCGCGGAATTTCGTCAAAGAGCGCCATCAAAGTTTCATGCGGCGCAAGCGGGACACCGTGTGTATTTTTCTCCGCACTCTACATCTTATTCTTGTCTCTCATGTCTCCGTGCTTGCGATGGTAATCAACGTCAGTTGATCGGTCTTGATTGATCTCAGCCCGGCAGGACTGATTTTCTACGTCCCGTATAACGGACGGACGGTTGTCCGACATTATCTCAGCGCGTAGAAAATCGGGAAGCGGGGAACTTGACGCAATTTTTCGAAACGAAATAGCCGCTCCGAGGTGACTCATCGCGTCGGCGAATCAAGATTAACGGAGTGGCTTTTCTGTGAAATTCGCCACGCAATAAAACTGCGACGGAGCGTTAGTTGGCTCGGCGATTATTTTCGCGCTGGGATTTTTGTTTCCGGGAAAATGACGACAGGCTTGCTACTTTTTGTCTGATCTTTTTGCGCGCGACGCGCAAATTGAAGTCATAATAATATCTCATCGTTACACAGTTCTGTCTTTCTTCGTGGGCGAATTTTGTTATTTTACGACATTGCCCGGTGTCAAATTGACGCGAAAATTACCGTCGAATCGGACGCAATAATCGTCGCAGCGTATAATATTTAAGAAAAGAGATAATCCCATTTCGTTTTTCCAAACGATATCTCTAGATATAATCGGACAATGCCGATATGTTTCTTATTTTTCAAGACGTAACGCGCGCGCGTTTCGCTTCTTTTCTGTGTATTTTCACGAGGATAAGACGATATTCAAGAGTATCTCACGCAAATCTTATCTTCGCATTTTTCGCAAAGTTGCATTATCGCGTTTTGAAACAACCTACGCGATATTCGACGACGTCACGTTCCGTGACTCCAACGTTCCCGAGAATCGCCTTTTAAGAAAATTAAATCTCATCCTATGAACTTGTGACATATTTTTCTCACCGATAAGATTTAAACCGGTGATAAATATTGCCGACAGCTTTGTGCTTATGCTGCGACTCTTAATTTTTCGCGAAAACTTATTCCGCCGGCGATTAGCGCTAACAACACACGTCAGTCACTGACGAACGTAATCGTCTTTTCTTTACGTCCGTAACATCACGTGACGTGAGAGAAAGAGAGAGAGCTTCGTGTTGCTTCTGACAATCAATTAAACCATTTTTAATCGTTGGGAAAAGAGTCGTCTTCACCTGTTTTTCTCACAAATTGCGTTATCGCGGCCGCGACAACTGCCGTTTGGCATGTTATAATTGCAAATTATGAAACACTGAAAAGTAGTCTACATATGCAGTGTCATCCGCGATCACTTGCCCTGTGCGTGATTTTCACGACACGCAAGCTTCGTCGCGATTCGCATGACGTGTCGAAACGGCATGGGAAATTTTTCCGGAAAGCAATACAGCGCGATCGATCGAATCGACATGCTTCTTTCCAACGCGATGCCGCATTAAATGGACATTTGTTTTGGTAAATTAAGCTTCAAGATTCGTACCTTCGTCGACGAAATAGCAATACTTTGGCACAAAAGTACCTTTCATCGAATAATGAAGACATGGTGGAGCATTATTACGAACGAAAAGTCCTCTCTCTCTCTCTCTCTCTCTCTCTCTCTCTCTCTCTCTCTCTCTCTCTCTCTCTCTCTCTCTCTCTCTCTCTCTCTCTCTCTCTCTGCTTTCCCCGAGATTTCCAAATTTTATCTCGTTTCGCTTTCTTTTTATTATTAAAGCAGAGGACCTTGCGGGTAATATTAAGGCTTCTGAATATTCCAAAGATAAGTCCTGGAAGAGAACGCGACCATCGATCGACGACGAGGATCGACGAGGTGCCTAAGCACCCTAAGGATCGCCGATAATCGGCAAACAAGCGGATAATGGACGGTCTCGCATATACCGTTTGTAACTCAATTACACCCGCGGGATATAATTGAAAAACCGATTGTCGGTAATCGGAGATGATTATGCCTCGGAACGCTATATCCGTTACGCGCAAATGTTTACACGCTATAACGACATCGAGCAGTCGTGTTGCGTAGGTATTATTGCTGCGCTGTTATAACAAAATGAACAACCGCACGGTAATATTATATGATACTGTGTATGTGAGTCGTTCTATTTAACAAAAAAAAGAAAAGGAAGAAACTCATACGTGTCCTGTTTTGAAACGTGAACTTGGGCAAACATGCGTATTATCGATATTAATTCCCAAGTACCGTTCTCAGATTTTCAAAATTGTGTGAATTTATATTATTTTGAAAAAAGAAAAATAAGCGAATAACCCGTGTTGGAAGAGAAACAGGGAAAGAGAGGAGAAAGAAATGTGGAGAGAGAATAAGCCGTGTAATAATAGTTTTATTCCGATCGTATAAAATTTAATTAAATTGTGCGAAAATCTAAAATTTAATACGGCTACTGAAAGATAATTTTATAAAATTTTGTATTAATGTCAATAATATTTTTGAATTATATCATGCGCTTTGGTTTTATACGCGGAATTAAAAGATTAACGATAAATTTTGGTGCTACGAAAATACGCAATTTTTTCCTCGGTTATGTAAAAATGGTAGATTTTCAAAAGTGTATGATATCGCTGTCGGGTGCCACGTACATATTCAGATCCGCCAATTTAT